TGATGGCTGCTCCTTAGGCAACCCTGGTCCCTCAGGCGCAGGGGGGGTTTTCAGAGACAGCCAGGACAATGTCCCCTTTACTCTTTCGACGCATCTAGGGACTTTCGACTCCCAATATGCAGAAGCCATGGCTCTCTTATTGGGATTGAGAAACTTTATTTCCTCCTGAGGTCCTACACTGATAGTGGAAGGAGACTCTTCTAACACCAAATCCTGGGCAAGAGGCTTGTCCCCCCCTCCTTGGCAATTGTCCTCAATCTTTGATGAAATTTCCCATTTATGGAGGGTTACCAGCGTCTTATGGCAGCACACCTGGAAGATGTCCAACAATCTAGCAGATCTACTAGCGAAGGAGGGAGCTAGTTTGCATTTGGACTGCCAGGCTAGGTCCAACTCCTTTTTTGTTCAGGACCTCAGCCATACTGACTCCGAGACTAAGTCCAACTCCTTCTTTGTTCAGGACCTCAGTCGTACAGAATAGCACCTCTCTCATCGAGCAAGCCACAACTCAGATTTTTTGAAAATCTCATTATAAATCTTGTATCATGGGCGCTTCTTATAAGCCTATACTGATAATGGAAGACTAATGTATATTTACTGTTAGCCACCCAGGTAGGGTGTGCTTTCAGTCATACTTTTGTAAACTTCTATAGAAATACAATGTTAACAGTTCTCAAAACAAACAATAGAGACTCATGTACTGTTTCCTCTCTCTACCCCATTTTTTCAATTTAAACTTATATAATTCATATAACATTAACTTACCTTAAAAAGAGAAAGAAAACCACGTATTTTTCGATTAAATAATAGAAGTACTACGAGTAAGTCATAGATCAGATACAAACAAGGCTAAATGGTAGAATGAATAGGGCTGGCAATGGGCTGGGCGGCTCAGCCTGGCCCTAAAAAAGTTGGTCTGGGCCACAAAATATGGCCCAAAGGCAAGGGCCAATGCCAGCTCGGCCCGGCCCTCTTTTTTCCTTTTTCTTTTTTTCTAGTTTATTCTTTTAGTTTTTCTTTTTTTTTTTTCTTTTTTTCTTTTTTTTCCAGCCCAGGGCCAAGGCAGGCTAGCCCAGGCCCAACCCGTTGCTACCCTTAAGAATGAACAATCTTTCCACAAAGGTCACAGGTTCGAGCCTTGCCACAGGCATGCTTTTACTTTTAAAATGCTACCGTGTGTAATGAGGTGTCGATAGATCTTGACAAGCTACACCAGTCCAAAGCACAGTTATAGGGATCAAGAGCAAGGTCATATCCCAAACAGGGTCGGGAATGCGGGATCAAGGGATGCACTGAGATCCGTGAGATAGGGATCGAGATCCGCACAACATGGCTCTGTGAGTTAAAGGGAACGTGATGCCAATATGAAGGAAGCACGATCCAAATTTGACCAAGATCTAATGATAGAGTATAAGGAATCAAGCTCTGTCCAGCTTAGAATCAAGGCTCCCCAAGTAGGGTAGTCTAGATCTGGAACGAAGTCCGTTGAACGATATGATTAATGCTTTTTCTGAATTCAAAACCAAAATGTCATTAAATACAAAGAATCCAGTTTTTAAATGTTTTTAAAAATATTTCTATCAATGGAGTGTGTTTTTCATAAAGTGAGAAGTAAAACTGAAAACCCAAAATGTGGATTCAAATTTCAGTACTTGGGCATCAAAGGGGTTCTACTATCTGATGGAAAAATGGTCTCCTCCTTTTCCCTCCTTTGGGTCCTCTCACTTGCATGTGATTAAGCATACAACTGGTCAAACACTCCAGATACAAAGAAGAAAAAAGGGTCCACAAGCAAAGAAAGAGTCAACCTGCAAAGGTCTCTATAATAGTGCATGTGGTCAATGCAAGGGCAGTAGAGATAGCAATCAATCGTATAAAGCTTATAGAACTCCAATAAGTGAAATGAAGAGGATTCAGGTAGGGCAAGGCACAACTTCAGCTATTCTCCTACATGTACAGGTTCCATAATGAAATACGACAGTAGCTTAAATTTTATGGTGTTTATTTTTTCAACTTACAAGTTCAAAGTTCAAACTTCAATCTTCAAACCCTGACACCTTTAAAAAAGCTAACTCCCTAATCTATATGAAAAAACGGGTAGGGGCCTGTCTTCCCCACTGAATTATCCAAAAAAAGAAAAGAAAAAAAGACTGCCGTTATAGGCATTGAGACTGTTTCTCAATTAGTTTATCTCTATACTGAAAACCAATTAGAATTTTAAGAGAACTATGATCTTGCACGAGCTCGCACACACACATAGACACACAGATTATGAGCTAGGGATTTAGAGAGAAGATGGATGGGGGAAGAGGGGTGGTAAGTCCATGAGACTCAAAATGTGTTTGCTTATCTCCGGTACATATGTAAAAGAAACTCGATTCTATGTTGGTGGAGCCTTGATTCCACTTACTCATAGACCCATGATATGAATGAGAGGGGTCTGGATCCCATTAACCATAGATCTAGATCCCAATTTTGCAGATCAAGATCCCTAAATTCAAAAAACATCTGGAATCAAGATCCCTTGTCCAGGAGCGCAAGATCAAGCTTCCAGAGCTAGAGAGACCACCTTCTTGGGAGATCCCGATAACTATGGTCTAAAGAGAAGAGTAGTGGTAATGCTGTTTTAGACTCCCCACTTCTAGGTATATTGGATGTAAAATATTATAAGGGGAAAACAAAAGAAAATAGGAAATTTGCAGAAAAATCTTATTTTATTTTTTAAATTAAAAACATCCTCTATATTTTTTATATTTCACACTCAAATCCCACTATTTGAGAGTGTATAATCTATTTTGTTCTGATTTTTTCTATATATCGGATTAAGCTCAAATTTGGAGCATGCATAGTTCTCACAAATCAAACACATGTACAATTACAAAATAATCAATTTGAAAATAAAATTACCAAGATATCCCTGAATCTTGTAGGAATAATTTTTGTCAATTTTATCATTGACTTATGTTTATACTTTTTACAGGTGGGTGATGGTAGGAAGTATGGATGCCTGCCCAAATCTGAGTTTAATCTATTGTGAAAGGCTGACGACCACCCAAATTTGAGTTTAATACATGGAAATATGAAATGTAGGGAACTATGTTTAAATGCCCAAAATAAATGGAATTTTTCTATAACACATAGCAGTCAATGAATGAAGTTGTAACATATAATTATAGCTCAAAATTCAAGGTCAGGTGACCCAACTCACTGGAGGCAAGCTGTCTGAACCTAGTACCAATACTTAAAATATGAAAACAAGAAACCAAGACCATGTCAAACCAATCATACTTTCGCTCATTAGCTTTCCAATTTTTTTAAAAAGTCACTTCTGATGTACCAAGGAACTGGTTCCTACATGAGTATGGCAAAGGATTCGTAGGCTATACCTATGGTTTACCTACTTAGTGCAGAAAAATTTGCACTACTACTTAGTACTCTCAGGGGCCTCAATTTTTAACCGGACATATATAGGGATTAAGATCCCTCACTTTCAGGGTGTACGGACAGCAATCTCTACTATAGAGAGTTCCCTGCTGGTCACAATCCCTCGAACCCGATCTCGATCCTGATCCCGATCCTGATCCGGATGTGATTAGAAACCGATCCTAATAGCTATGGTAGATAGGATGGATCATTAGGTTAAATTTGGGGGTTTATATTTAGAATTGAAGTCTATGGAAGTTGGGGATATATAGATGGGGGTTATACTGTGGTAGATTAGCTCAAGTCCCAAATGTTTGAACTAGGGATCATGGTAGGGCTTGCATAGGTGAAGAATTCAGTTGTTGGAAATCTTAGATGGGGATGTGGCACAAAGGGGAAAGTCGGAGCCCAAGATTACATAAAAAGAATATCCAATCCACAAGCCAAGCTTCCCCAGAATCTCTCCACCAAAAAAAAGAGGTTCTAGGCTATAGGGGGAGACTCTCCCAATTCTAGGCTAGAGTTTATAGAATTTGTCTCTCTTCAAAAAAAACTTCGATGAATCTATTCTCTAAAGGTGACCCTCTCTCACAACTGGAAAATACATTGTATTACTAAACTTGATAGACTTGGCCATTTCTGTAACTTTATCTTGGGACTCAAGCTTTTTCTCTATTTTCCTATACTTCCTAATCTTCTATATTCTTTCAAAATTAGGTAACTAGTTCCTTTATAGTTTTAGGAAACAAGACCCTTACAAAAATTGGAAAGAATCTCTAGACTCTTAAACAAAATTAGGGAACTAAAAATTAACTTGCAAAACAAGAAAAGAAACATCTTACTAGACTCAATTTTTAATTTATGGAGCCCACACACTTTTGGAAAATTGATCTTTATAAGAGATTGGCTAGGTTCCCTAATCTAAGATTTCTAGGGCTCAAAAATGGAAACAAAGAAACCTAAAAGATTACAGAAATAAATTTGTCCCTGATTTTTTCAGCAGCTTTCAACTATGATTTGAAGCCCAAAACATCCAAATTACAAAAAAAAAAAAACAAGGCCATAAAGGTCGTAGACCTCAACAAGAATCTTTGATTTAAGAATTGGATCACCCCTAATAGACATCCAGGTATTGAGTCCCCTGACTTAGTCAGCTTCTTCATTGGGACACTATTTTTTACTGAAAAGGTTGTCAAAAGCTCGTGCACTAAAACAAGCAACTCGGTGAGTTGACTAGTTTTTGCATGTGTCTAAGTTGCTACCCAGTCCAATTCAAAACATTTTTTAACTATTACACCTTAAACAGTATGCATGTTGATGAGGCTGAATCTACATCTACCAAAAATAACATGCTCTAGATTAAGTTTGCTTAGACCAAGTTCACTCATCATTTTCATTTTTTTTCTCCATCACAGGGAATTCATATAATCTCAATGTCACAAATCTAGCATGTTATAAGGAAATAAACAAAATGAGTGTTTTCTTATAGTTTGTGGACGTTTAGAGACATTCTGCATCAAGAAAACCACGGTGATCTAGTAAACAATAAATCATTGGATGTATTAAAAGGTACTAACCTTGAGAGGAGATCTGTTGCAGAAGGAGATTTCTCTTCCTTTTGTGACTCGCGATCAGATTGAAGCCTCTCAAGTTGCTGATCAACTGCAGCAGGAAGTAAATGAGGATGCGTTCGTAGTATTTGCGCCAGAAACTGTCCTATTGGTGACTCAAATTGAAGAGGAGCAATAGGAGTTGAAGTCTCTCCACTAGCATTTATGCCTCTCCTTACTCTTAAATTGGCAAGTTTGCATCCATGTTTGAGCCCACGGACTGAAGGGCCATTCTGCAACATTACGTTTTAAAGAGCCAATGAGCTTTGAAGAACATCAAAATCAGTTAAACAAGACATATGCAAATGAGAAGCCCAAAATTGTGCGTTTGCAAACAAGAGAACATGAAATCACTTTCTTTTCCTTTTCGTGTTCATTTTCTTTTTATTCTTTTAGTGAGTAGAGAACAAACCCAACTCCATTTCATAAGCTGTGGTAGTCACATCAGTGTTTGAAAACTCGAGCAAGTACACTCAGACTCACCCAAGTCCCTCTGCCAAACCCTCAACGATACACATTGGAACAGGCTGGGTTTGGCCAGTTCCCACCATTTTAATATTATCTGGACAGAATCCTCCTTGTCTGTCAGACACAGCCCAAACCAGGGACCCTTCCCTGTTCCAACCCAAACTTATGTTTTCTAACACTGGGGCATATTTATTTAGGATCATGACTGCAGTTTAATTTACAGTAGGATAGCATATCCATACTAACTAAAATCACAAATATAAGTCTCATTCAAAACTACTTAAACATACCACAGTACCTCTTTCAATGATTTTCTCGTATCATAAATAGCAATTAGTGAAGAGAATGTGGCTTGCCGTAATTAACTCAAAGAACATGGGAATTTTATCATCAAACCAACTAAAGGAAGAAAATTGAATATGTTTACATTTTAGAAAGAGAAAAAAATACATATAGGCTTCTATATGCTTGTCAGTCATAAATTAAACCCAATAAACCAAAAGGAATAAACAACATGGACATATTTAGTGACAACTGAAATTCACAGTAGTACATTAAATGTGCCATAAGGTACTATCTTTCAGGATTTTTTACAAAATTAATGCAAATGTCATTGTAACTCCTCATCAAGAGTGAACCATCAATAAAATCTGAGACTATCACCGTTCATTAACTAGACAATGACAACATTCTATTTTCATTATTGCCTTCAAAAGAAATAGTGAAATCCACAAAAAATCATCGTCATCCTTATCCGAGCCTTAACCCGACTACTTGGTGGCGGCTAATAACATAGGTTCACGATTCATAAAAAGATGTGGCAAAGTTTTACATTGGCTACCCTACCTAACACGACCCTCCTCCTTTATCTGAGTATGGGACCAGCATGAACAGCTTTCAACAAGGCATAGAGAAATCCATAAAAAATTTTACATTGGCTACCCTACCTAACACGACCCTCCTCCTTTATCTGAGCATGGGACCAGCATGAACAGCCTTCAACAAGGCATAGAGAAATCCATAAAAAATAAAAGGAAATAATTTTTAATAATCAGAAGGTCAAGATCAAAGAGATTGAATCAATAGGGGAAATCAAGAATTTGTATCCAACTCACCATCAAAGTCATGTATAAAATATATATAAAAAAAAATACATATACTAGTTTTCTTAATCAGTGCAACATTATGTAGAATTTGCAGAAAAGTACCTCCAATTAATAGTAATATTACCCTAATTCTGAACAACAGTGTTTCAGACTTGGCACAGTCCACTCTGACTCAACGAGTAACTCATCCTTAGCCATTCCCGGGCCAACTTGGCCCCTGCTAAAAATGATTTAAAACACACAATTTTTGTTAAAAATGTAATGATTTAGAAATACATTTTTGTATCAACTAGATGGTTTTTTTGATGATTTGTGAAGTTCTCCCTCAACATACTCTAAATGTTTATTCATTTTTTGTTTTTTGGAATATTCCAAGGTAAAAATCAAAACGTCCAATAATTCATTTTTTATGCACATTTTTGGATTTTATGGACTTCTATTAAATTCTGTTACTTATTTTACTTCTTTCTGATTTTAATTATTTTTAACAATTTTCTACATTTTTTATTTATTGACCTTTTTTGGTCTTGTACACTAGTCAATAGAGTTACTCGGCTTGGACCAAGGCCAAGTCCAAGGCCCGAGCTGAGTTTAAAAACACTACAAACAATTTCAAACCAAATTCATCCAAAGCTTGAAATATTCCATGGGTGTGGTTTGCATAAGGTTGTAGCCTTAAACAATCAAATTAGAGCGTACCTCTAAATCTTAGCCTAAGATGTAATCTTGTGCCAAAAATTCTTGCGATGACTTTAAAATCTATTTTTATCTCTAATGGTAAAATTTTAAAATCCAAAAATATTTCCAAGCAAGCAGATCTACTAACACATGAAAATCTTGAAAATGGACGGTCCAGAAAATTATTGCAAGACGCATCATTTTTGAGACTCGATTTCTTTTCTTTTTTTCATATCCATACATTTCGATGTCGAGATGATCAATTAGAGGGATATCCAACATCAAAATGATATTTTCCAATGGATTTTTGAGGTGCACCTTAATTCTGCATTTTAAGGTTGCAACCATATATAAACTTTTTCCATATTCCATCACCAAAAAAATTGGAAAATTAGCGATTAAGAGAGAGAGAGAGAGAGAGAGAGAGAATTGAATGATGCAGTAGTAAACTAGTTTGGGATTTCCAAAATCCAACATCAAAGATGCGATCAACATCATCAAAAGGAGAATTTTTTATGTAGGACAAGACACCTCTTATTTTTAAATATTTCTTATTAAATTTTCGGGATTTATTTTTGGAATTTGCTAGATTTAATTTTTAGGCATCTTAGTTTTTTTTTTAACTCTAAGGATTTTTATATTTTAGGATTTTATGAGTTGCTTAGAAAAGTAGTAGGGTGCTCATGGAATATTTTATTTTATCAGGAGTAAAACAATCATTACAAATTTTATTTTAACTAGAATTTTTATTTCAATTAGAACTATTATTTCTTTGGTTTTAAGTGAGGTCTTTTATTACAAATAGACGTCTATGTACATAAGTTAGAATAGATAGTTGAGTTTTGATATCTTAGAATAGATAGCTGAGTTTTAATGTCTTATTTCTTCCTTGCAAAATTCAATTGACATCAATTGGTATCGGGGAAAAAAAAGGAAGAAGGAAAAGCCCCAGGGTTTTGAAATTGTAGTTGGGTTAGGGAAGAAACCCAAGGTCTCTTCTAATTATTGCTTGTGTTTGTAGAAACCCTAGCTTGTTTAGGGAAGAAACCTTAGGTTTCTTCAAATTATTGCTTGTGTTTTATTGCTCTTCTTTTGTTCACTTTCAATTTTCCTACATCAATTTGGTATTAGAGCTTAGGTTTTCGTCAACAACAAAGCCAGGGAACAAGAATCAAGTCCAAGGTTTGCGGATTTTGGGTCAAGTCTTGCCAAATTAGCTTCGATCTTGCTGATATCAGCAAGGTTTTATTGATTTTCTGCTTAGGGTTTGTGATTCTGGTGAACCTATGGCAATAAGAAGGAACCAACGAAGGAGGGTTCTCGTAGACCTATCCCATGATCTCAAAGATGAGGTGATTGAAAGCAGTGTTTAAAAATGCGGCCGCATCGCCGCATATGCGGCCGCATCGCCGCATATGCGGCCGCATCATGCGGGATGCACTCGCATCCGCATCCCGTTCAGGCGCGTATGCACTTTTGACAGATGCGGCCGCATATGCGCTGCATCAGGCCGCATATGCGCTGCATCAGGCCGCATCATGGCCGCATCCCGCATCATGGCCGCATCAGACCGCATCTCGCCCGCATCTGTTTCCACAAAAAAAATTTCTAGTTTGCCCCTCGAGGAGGGGCAAAATGGTCTTTTTTTTGTTCCAATGTTTAGGAAAACTGTTTGGGGGGGGGTTACTATACCCCCTAATCGAAGATTTTCAGCCACTTTTATGGCTTTTTTTTGCATCAAATTGAAGAAAAAAAAAATTCGGTGAAAATTTTTTTTCATCCAAATCTTCGATTTGGCAATTGTTTGATACTTGGATGTTCATTTGATGCCTTTTATTGTTGATTTGGGGATATTAAGGTGAATTTGTGATAAGAAATTGGGGATTTCAGAGGCCGTGAAGAAATCGAGCACTACTTCACAGAGTCGGTAACTTTTTATTCTTTCTTGTACAATAATACTGTTATACTTATTTTTGGGGCAATGTCTTCTTCCCAATCTTCTAGTAACAAGAATCCGGCTTGAAAATATGCTAAACTAAAAAATCCGAAAGATAGAAATTATGTGATATGTTTGCTCTGTGGAAATACTTATATAGGTGGTATTTTTCGACAAAAGAGCATTCAGCCGGAATTTTTGGGAATGTAAGAGCATGCCCACAAGCTACAGATGATATAAAAAAGGAGATTAGAGAATATTTGGATAGATTGAAAAAAGATAAGGAGGAAAAAAAAATAAGAGAAAGGAATTACTTGATGATATGCAATTATTTGATGATGTTGATGATGATGATGATGATGATAATATGTCTGAAGTTGCTATGAGGCAAAGGGATACTCATACTCCAACCTCACGAGCGAGGGTTATAAATATTGGTGGTAGTGCTGAGAGAAGAACACCTCTCTCTAAGGGGTCAATGGATTCTTTTTTCGCCCCTAGCCCCGAAATTGTGGTTCAGGAGAGAAAGAAAAAAACAAAACAAACCAAAATTGACAATAACTATAAGAAAGAACAAAGGAAGTCGGTATGTAAGTAGATTGCAAAGTGGATTTATATGGCCGGCATTCCTTTTAATACTATAACTCTGGATAGTTTTGTATGTATGGTCCAGGCAATTGGGTAATATAGCCCAGGTCCTTCACTACATGAGGTTAGGGAGCCCTTGTTGAAGGATGTTGTATTTGATGTGAATAAAATTTTGATTTCTCAGAGAGAAGGGTGGGAGAAATATGGGGCCACTATTATGTGTGATGGTTGGTCTGATGGAAAATCAAGGGCATTCATTATTTTTTTGGTTAACTGCCCAACAGGTACTTTTTTTAGTAAGTCTATTGATGCATCAGACAAGTCACATGATGGTATATACTTATCTGGCTTGATGGATGAGATTGTCGATTTTGTTGGGGAGCAAAATGTGGTACAAATTATCACTGACAACGGTGCCAACTATGCTGCAGCTGGGCATTTCTTGACTTTGAAAAGG